GTCCTATCTTACCACATCTAAAACATTTAGCATTACGAAATGTACAAGAATGTCGAGAATGAAGTTTTCCACATGATAAACATTTGCCAAACTTGGTCTCACCTTTGTGATTTCCTTTGCAATTCTTTATTGAAACACCGTTCATATTTACATGAGAATCGGAACCTCTGTTAAACGAACACAATTTTGATTGAACCTGAGATTGTTTTTCATCATGACAACTAATCAAAGTATTGGAAATCTTCATCGACTGAATATCAAGTTCATTCAACGCCTCGTAGTTAATGCACGCAGTTCTAACATCTTGAAAGGAACAGTTTGACATTCTTAACAGCTCTGTTTCCAAACTAGGTATGTTAATTCCTGCAATTAATCGGTCTGTCAGCTGCACCTTAAGTTGATCACCGAAATTACATTTGACAGCCTGTTTCTGCAATTCAAGAATGAATTCCTTAACATTTTGGTCATTTTGACGAATCATCTTATGAAATTTCGCTCTTTCACGGCATTCAAAACCAGGGCACTTACATGATTCAATAATAACTCCTTTAGCATTGCATAGGGAAGTGAAATAGGTTTTTCTGGATATGCCAAGGTTTTTAATAAGCTGCACGCTTCTTTTCCGATGAATGTTAGGAAATGAGCCACAATTTTATCATCTTTGACATCTTTCCTGGTCATACTCCAGATTTCAAACCTTTCCAAATAATCTTCAAAAGCTTCAGAAGTTGAATGAATATCTAGCTGTTCCATTACAAGTTCCATCGCGACGCCAGTGTGATAATTAGAAGTATGTGAATCAAGAACTAAAGATATGCACAAACGAATGTATTGTATTTAGAATTCGAAATCAAACATTCCACAACAACAAGAAGTTACTAGTTCATTCAAACACCACAGGTATCCTTCTTTGCAGTCTGTTGGCACTTGTTCTTCATCCTAAATCTTGTTGAAGAGAATATTAAATATAGTCCAGCTGCATCCTGGCTGTACATTGGATGCCTTGCTCCTCTCCAGATGTTTACGTCTTCATAATCCCGTCGGTCACTGGGAGAATGAGTGAGAGTAAGCGACCCTGTATGACACCGATTTTCACCTCGAACGAGTCATTCAGCTGGGCACGAATTTTTCAGTCTAATCCTTCATGAGAATCCCATGCGGTGTTAAGTATCTTCTCAGACCCGCTGTATTTTTGAAGAGGCTTTAATAGTCTCATCATGTGCACGCTGTCGAATACTTTTTCATAGTCCATGAAGTTGTAACAATTTGGTATGAAAGGCAAACAAGGTAATGTCGAAAGAATATGATGACTCATTCACAAATATCAGATAGAAACCCCTAGTCAAGGTATTTGTACTGATGACTTGTCAGCTGCCTACAAGTATACTCAAGTTACGGTTCACTGAGTACAGTTATCATCGAACATTTACGCTCAATCTAGTCAGACACTGGGTCAAGATAGCTATTCACCCGTCACAATTCCTACGTCGGGAGAATGCAGTATGAACATTCTCCAAATAAAATTATTAAAACATCAGTCAGTTTCTCGATAACGAAATGACAAAGTCATGCTTTGGGTTGCTTACATTTCAAAGATCAAATGTATTGTATGCCATGGAGATACTACTGGCAGGACTATTTTATGAACTATAATACTACACATACACAATATTGTTGAGTAACAGGATCGTCTTATGTATTACTTCGTTTGTTAGCTTTCAATGTGCATCAAGTAACGATTTAATATTTAGTTCTATCTATCTCCCACCATTTACAAGAAATAATCCCATTTGGGACACCAGAATGGGATATTTATTCATAAAAGTTGTCTCCGTTCAATGGTAGCAGTTCAAACAAAAGGAATTATTCCAAGTCACATCCGCAGTTCGGTCACTATAGCTGTCTCGATCAACTGCTCTCTTCCTCGTTTCTTAGGCAGCATACACACGTTCATTCACCCGCGAACACAAGACATGTGAAAACATTACTGGATTCAAGCAAAGTAGATTTCTTGGACTGTCAAAGCTGCGATTTTGGGTGACTTTAAGTCCTGTTCTTTCGTAATTATATTTATCATGATTATTTTCCTCCTTCCAAAACTTCTATCACACATATTTTCCTCTTCAAATTATCTCGTTTTTCAGCTCAACTCCCTCAGGTATCAAGTTCAGAAATAAAGTCGCTATCCCTCCTTCACTATAACAACCAGGAAATCTAGTAGATATATGAATTCCAGGGTTAGTTGTAAGGTAGTCAAAGCCAATAGACTTCACCGCACCGAACCAACCAAAGTAACAGAATTATGTTGACTTCGTTTCAACACAAAAGGCACGAAATACTAGATTAAAGCGATTTACCGGCCTCCTCAAACAGTGACGGCCAGAAAGATAAACTGACTGAGGTAATAATGCAACTGCCACTCCTTCGATTTGACAAAATACTCTTAGCTAAAGATTTCAACGCTCTTACTCTAACTCTCAACAAACAGGGCAGAACTTAGTTCGGTTGTTTCTGAAGACAACTTAACGCAGCCGTTAGAAGTTACGGGCCGACAGAGCAGCTCCAGTTAATGTAATAAGGATGAACAATGTTCATATGGTCAGCTCCTGGTCTAGGACATTCACGTCCATACACCATTAGGAAGTAATGATCGTGGCATGGTCTTGTTTAATGTGGTTGTAAACGAGACACTCAGCTAAGACGAAAACGAGCCCTACATTTGCTTCGATAGTTAAAATTACACGCGCATGCATGCCCCATGGCCACGATTATGGTGGAGACTAACAGTGGTTGACCACTGGCTAACAGTGAGAGACACCATCAGAATGCTTTCCTAAAAAATGTATCTCAGGGACACCACACACCTGGAAACAGAACTTGGATCAGGCGAGAAAGCTTGGTACAAGTGAAAGGTTTCTCGGGAGAATTCTGACCGTAGTTCCAAATAACTACATATTCACAGTACTCCTCCAACATAATACCACATGATGACCTAGGTAATATTCGACCTACTCCTGAGAAAATGAAAATCCCTGCTTCCCGGAAAGTCAATAGGATGTGACGATATTACCCCCACAGTCTTAAACAGTGTGCAGAAGCCGTCAGTTGACAGATATGTGATGTCTTCAGTTACACTAACTCTTGGCTGAATGAAATAAAGCTACTCCCTCAAATCGAGACCGTCACAAGCAATACTGTCAAAAATATTGGAACGGCTGGTGGACGATAAGAGGAGTAAATGGATGAGAACGAAATCCCCAATGAGGCTGAACACGAGTCTCGGGAAAGTAGGTCGCACGCATCTAATCTTTTCATAGCATGGGACAGTTGGACATCCTGCTGAAACCGAAAAATACCGGTGCATATAATTTCTTGACATTGTCAAAGCATTCGGCACAGTACCTCACGTACACTTGGTTGCGGAAATGGGCTTCACTCGTATCTTGGCTCAGAAACAACCTTGAGAATAGAAAGTCTCACACCAAGGTGAATACAGTGCACGTGAGTTGGCAGGTCTCAACATCAGGAGTTTCACAGGGGACTGTGTAAGGTCCATTTCTGCCGCTGATATATATTAACATGTTAGATCGAAGGCATCGATCTACGCAGACGCTGCAATATATGGAGGTCCATAATAAGCAAAACTGAGCATCAAAAGAAGCTTACATCTGCTTTGGAATGAACCAGAGGAAATGTCACAATATGCACATTCTGCCACACGTTACACAAACGACATGGTTTTTGTCTAAAGAGGAACCCAAACCGATCAAGAATTGCCAAAAAGACTTCCTCGTTCCTGTACCAATTTCTCGAGCCTAACATCTTGTCAAAGCCCAACCCCAGATGAGAAATTCACTACTCTTAACATTAATGGGAATTTGAACAGACTGCATGTTACATAACGACAGCTGATCTCAATTTACTTTGTATAGATTGGTTCGAACAGCTAAAATCAGCTGATATCCTGTTAAGTACTATATGCCACGTATCACAACCACATGACGCAGTTCTCAACCAGCTGATAAACATTCTAAGTGGCCTCTTCGACAGCAGCGAACGATAGTCAAGATGCAACTCGACCCCAGGAACGTACGCTATTAAAGGAGTGTGTGTTGGGGATGTCAGATCCCCAGAACTCACTTTGAAAGGTCCTAACTTTGCAGACATTCTGAAATTTTTATGCTTTCGCGCAAAAGACACTTAGTTGTCATTCAGCTTACATTTCCCACTCAGAAAATTCTTGACTAACATTGGTTGATAAATTATTTTAGTGCGCCATTTTGTGACTTCGCTAAGGGCGTTTCTATCATTGTATAAATAAGCATGAGTTGTGTGCTTAGCAATACATTTTCTACGTCTTATCAAGCATTCTTGCTCTAGTTAGCGGGAACTCGGACAATCAGATTAGGATAGCCTATCGTGTCACTGCATCGTTGATCTTAGTTCCGTTTATCGAGTAAGGTGAATTTGTAATAGTTCCAAGAATATTACTGACTGCTGTCACTGCTAATGGAAACGCTCCTGTGGTTGAGTCGATGAAACCAGATAGCTAATAATTTTTCGATTGAGGATACAACTGTTTAGACTTTCTTGTTGTCGTTAATCAAGTCAGTATTTGTTAGAATATATCTGTCAAAAGTGATTACCAGCAAAGTTTGATATCTGAAGCATTAACGAGTTTGTGGGTACATTATTCTTGTCTACAGTAGCTGGAGGTCCATAATAGGAGTAAAAGGACGAGAAAACTGTAGGTGAACAAATCATACTGGCTATCCTAGAATTGTATTTTCTGTCTTGTGGATTAGAACAGCCTAAAATAGTCGAAAACCGACTTCCTCAGCTTTAGTATGTGGGATGCATCTAAATGTATTGATACTGAAATGCAGAAACAGAGGTAGGGTGCTATTATTGGACCTGAGGATACAGGTGATTCAAGTTATTTTACCTTGAAGTTAGCGGATCGTGAATCAATATTCCAATGATTATTAACAGTTTAATACTAAGACAGAGAAGGAGATTTATTCGTTTTTGAAAAACTTGTTACATAAATGAATACATAGAAAAATAGAATAAAAATGGGTCCTGAAACAGAAATAAACTATTGAGACATCGGTGAATAATGCAATACGGCCATGTAAAGTCTACATTCTTAAAAAAATAGTGCAACCGGAAATCATGATAACTCTATACCATTGGTTGGGAGGTTGAATCGTCCTAAAAGAAGAAAAACAAGAATTTTAAGAACAGATAGGCAATAAATAAATATCACTAAATGAATAGTTAGAAAACTCTGAAACAACGATAAAGTAATACTTCTAACTTACCGTGAGTTCTATAACATCTTTTTCACAAATTTTTTGAGATATGTGTTTTGTTGAGTGAACATTAGGATCAACTGATAAATTTGTTGAATTATGCGAGTCATCTGTTCTATTGTTACCAGTAATATTCCCATCAACGAAAGAAACCAATGTGGTTAACTGTACACGTCGTTTTGGTTTAGATGCGGCAGTGGTACTATCAACAACAGTGGGATTATTAGTAGAGCTACAATGTAATTTGTAAAGGGTGTACATTAAAGTTCAAAAGTCAATTAATTTAAAAATTGCTTTACTAAATTAATGTATTTAAACTAGTCAGTAACCTATCAAATTGACAGTTTAAATATTCGATAAAAATAACTTACTTATCAGGAGTACACAACGCCCAATTAATGATAAAATACTTTGAGACCACACGCTACAATTAACATATTAATGTATAACAAGGTTCATATTTATAACACAAAAATCAATAAAGTGTAGATTTAAAAGATAATAACTATAAATTTCAGGCTGTAAACATAAAAGTATGCCTTGTTTGTAATTCACAAGTTTATCAAAATGTTCGATATTCCGACCATACAATCAGTCGAAAAATTTAATATAATCAACATAGTGATCGTGCCTTTATGTTCATTTATTATTGATTAAAACTAAACTACATTTAATGAATGCAAATTATAATGAAATCAAACAGCCTTCATATGAAAAAGTTTGTGTTCGTAACTTAGAATTTTTTTTAACATCGGATGATCAATGCATTTTTCAAAGTTAAGTCAACAGAAGTTTACATATTCTGGCCGTTAAATCAAATGAAAAAGCCTGATAATTTAAGTTTTTTAAGAAAGAGAAAGGAATTTTATTCATTTGATCATTAAAAGTATGAATTCATATCTAACTTGTAAACACTAAATTCTGATCCTTGAAACTAAAACCAACATAAAGTATGGTATAATATGCAAACATTCAAGTTCCCACAACACAATAACAAAGAGAAACATATGGAAATTAAAACGATGTAACCTGAAACAAAGTTGTAGGACAATCTACGATATAGAAATAAAATAACCATACAAAAAATGGTTCGGGAAAAAGGGATAAAATTCAGAAAAATTTGGAACAAAACTCTATTAGAGCTTACGATATGTTCGAATATCTGAAATCCATTTAATGATAACAACTACGGTCTTCAATCGATAATCATGATTACCACATGGACTCTAATCAGGTAATTTGCAACAAGGAACACAATTTATCCCAAAAGTCACTCATTGGCTATACACATGTTTTGGTCGAATCCTCTCCGACACCATCCAGTATTAGGCATCGAAGGAAGCAGTAACTGGGCGCATTTGACACATATTGAAATCACATTTGCCGATAAAATTCCACTATTTTATTAGATGTTTTCCCATACATAACGAATATATTAGGACTGATGTTAGGATAACAAACAGTGATTGCATAATATCATGGCAATGCTTCAAATAGAGGAAATTATATCAGCCTATTTACTAGTGAAAATTATCTGGGGACATTATTAATATATATATATATATATATATATATATATATATATATATATATATATATGTTAATATTAATGTCAGTTATACCAAAAAAGTAACTTAAAAATATGATGACTTGGAAGAGGCATAAACCAAGTGTATATATGAATAAGATCTGATGGGAAACTGATCAAAATACAAATATATAAATTTTATTACTTTGGAAATAAGAAATTCTGATAATGGAGAATAATACGAAGTTGAATATTAAGGTTAATAAATTTACCATGGTTCTGACAATTTCGCCTCAGTGGTTGGTTTATTTGAGTTAGGAACCGAGGTAGGTGAAAGATTAGTTTTTGGAGAATTGTCTGCCTCCTTGACAGTGCCGTTATTTGTATCCGCTGCTGTTTTGGATGGAAGCATTTCAACATCGTTACTCAAACACTTATCTAATTCACTGACATTATTTTCGACTGCGACAGGCTGTGGATTAGGTGCACCAAATGTACCACGATAAAATGCTCCAAGTTCACCATGAGCAAAATGAATCAGAGAGCAATAACCATCAGTAGAACAGACTACAACTAAATGACCATCTTTAGACCAGGATGCATCATTTAGAGCTTGATAATGGAGTTGAGAAACCTGAAGTACACAACAAAATTTTGACTGATGACATATAATGTGATAAGCAACACTTTTGGTCGAGCAAGATATCGAACTATACAAAAAAACTAAGTAAATTATGAATATTATTTGAGAAGCCAAACCTAACAGTTACACAAAAGATTAACAGTTAAGTGTAGAAGCCCGCGTGTAATTGATAGATATTTTATGCAAATCGCTATCTTTATGACTGCCATAACAAATACTGTAGCAATAAGTTCTGTGAGTTTAGTTTCATTTACACCGGTTATAGATACTTTCAAAATTGAACTTGAACTATGATAAGTCAATCTGAAAGTTATTACATTAAACAAGGATTTTCAGTTGAATATACAGTGGGTTAGTCATATATCTTAAAGAGAAACAGATTCTTGAATTTCATTGAGATTAGCAGTTCGTTATGGAGGCAATAGAATTATCTAGTCTGGTTATTGACTTACTTGTCTATATTCGTTGTGCGATTAGTGAAGCTTTCTTTATCCACTAAAACAAACGCCATCTCTTAACTAACGGCTCAATCGAGGAGAATAATGACCGGTGAATCAGAAATGGTTCATGAACTCTTCCTTGTCAGCAGATGAAGATGGTAAACCGATTAATTCTTTATAGTACTTTATTGACTCATCACTTAGCAATCATTCAACGATATACCTCGAATACCTGACTGTACAAAAACAAAATTAACAGGCATTCACATCACACGCAACGCCGAACCTCGTACAACACTATTCATAATTTACAATGTAAACACAACTCAGTCATAAGTGATGAGAAAACGGGGCGTTAAATATATAATTAATTAGTGGTAAATGTGAACCAGTAAGACATGCAACTAAGGTTTACGGGTCATATAAAACCCTGCAAATAAGAAAATGTAAAAATGAAATGATTTGAAGATCCATTGACGAACTCTAATAAGAATACAAACAATAAATTTCAGTGGGAAAGTTCTGACAGTTCACTATTTCTCAAATGATAACTAATCAACAATTCTTCAATATAAATTTATTCTACAACAGTGACATCACTGTAAAACATTTATATGCTATTCCAGTAACAAAGTTATTCATGCCAACTGTTAACAACGCTTTGATTTTGATTAATTCATGGATTTTTATAACTTTCTCATTGTTAAGCGAATGGCTAATAAAACAAGGGGGAAAAAGGAACTAAAAGGGGTGGATATAATGTAAATGTAATAAATACGTCACTTCTTACAATTGTAACGTAAATGATATTTAAATTTAGGTTTATTAGAAAAGTTTATGCTAAAAACAAATATTACGCAAAATTAACAAAACATATAGTACAAGGATACTTTTATTGGAAGGATAAATAACAATAAGAGATTAATCTTACTTGAGCAAATGGTACAGTTTGTTGCGTATCATAAAACAGAACACTATCTTCTAAGACTAGACAAAACAACCATCGATATGCAAGATTAAACAAACTAGTATATTGATTTGTAGCATTCTGACAGTTTAAATTAACTTGTCTTAATTGAAACGGTTGAGGACAAAAGCGAACTGCAACAACTGGCTTGGAACCTGTTGGTAAACTAACTGCAGGACGAGTGAAATTAGAACGTATAAAAATGTGTGCTGCATGTTGAGGAGCAACTGGTGGAATAGCAGCAGCATCCATCATTTTATCTGACTGCTCAGATCCATTGGTTGAAGAAATCAAAGTTGAACTATTAACTAGTTCAACTTTGATTTCTTCAACCAATGGATCTGAGCAGTCAGATAAAATGATGGATGCTGCTGCTATTCCACCAGTTGCTCCTCAACATGCAGCACACATTTTTATACGTTCTAATTTCACTCGTCCTGCAGTTAGTTTACCAACAGGTTCCAAGCCAGTTGTTGCAGTTCGCTTTTGTCCTCAACCGTTTCAATTAAGACAAGTTAATTTAAACTGTCAGAATGCTACAAATCAATATACTAGTTTGTTTAATCTTGCATATCGATGGTTGTTTTGTCTAGTCTTAGAAGATAGTGTTCTGTTTTATGATACGCAACAAACTGTACCATTTGCTCAAATAAGATTAATCTCTTAGTGTTATTTATCCTTCCCATAAAAGTATCCTTGTACTATATGTTTTGTTAATTTTGCGTAATATTTGTTTTTAGCATAAACTTTTCTAATAAACCTAAATTTAAATATCATTTACGTTACAATTGTAAGAAGTGACGTATTTATTACATTTACATTATATCCACCCCTTTTAGTTGCTTTTTCCCCCTTGTTTTATTAGCCATTCGCTTAACAATGAGAAAGTTATAAAAATCCATGAATTAATCAAAATCAAAGCGTTGTTAACAGTTGGCATGAATAACTTTGTTACTGGAATAGCATATAAATGTTTTACAGTGATGTCACTGTTGTAGAATAAATTTATATTGAAGAATTGTTGATTAGTTATCATTTGAGAAATAGTGAACTGTCAGAACTTTCCCACTGAAATTTATTGTTTGTATTCTTATTAGAGTTCGTCAATGGATCTTCAAATCATTTCATTTTTACATTTTCTTCGTTTTATATGACCCGTAAACCTTAGTTGCATGTCTTACTGGTTCACATTTACCACTAATTAATTATATATTTAACGCCCCGTTTTCTCATCACTTATGACTGAGTTGTGTTTACATTGTAAATTATGAATAGTGTTGTACGAGGTTCGGCGTTGCGTGTGATGTGAATGCCTGTTAATTTTGTTTTTGTACAGTCAGGTATTCGAGGTATATCGTTGAATGATTGCTAAGTGATGAGTCAATAAAGTACTATAAAGAATTAATCGGTTTACCATCTTCATCTGCTGACAAGGAAGAGTTCATGAACCATTTCTGATTCACCGGTCATTATTCTCCTCGATTGAGCCGTTAGTTAAGAGATGGCGTTTGTTTTAGTGGATAAAGAAAGCTTCACTAATCGCACAACGAATATAGACAAGTAAGTCAATAACCAGACTAGATAATTCTATTGCCTCCATAACGAACTGCTAATCTCAATGAAATTCAAGAATCTGTTTCTCTTTAAGATATATGACTAACCCACTGTATATTCAACTGAAAATCCTTGTTTAATGTAATAACTTTCAGATTGACTTATCATAGTTCAAGTTCAATTTTGAAAGTATCTATAACCGGTGTAAATGAAACTAAACTCACAGAACTTATTGCTACAGTATTTGTTATGGCAGTCATAAAGATAGCGATTTGCATAAAATATCTATCAATTACACGCGGGCTTCTACACTTAACTGTTAATCTTTTGTGTAACTGTTAGGTTTGGCTTCTCAAATAATATTCATAATTTACTTAGTTTTTTTTTGTATAGTTCGATATCTTGCTCGACCAAAAGTGTTGCTTATCACATTATATGTCATCAGTCAAAATTTTGTTGTGTACTTCAGGTTTCTCAACTCCATTATCAAGCTCTAAATGATGCATCCTGGTCTAAAGATGGTCATTTAGTTGTAGTCTGTTCTACTGATGGTTATTGCTCTCTGATTCATTTTGCTCATGGTGAACTTGGAGCATTTTATCGTGGTACATTTGGTGCACCTAATCCACAGCCTGTCGCAGTCGAAAATAATGTCAGTGAATTAGATAAGTGTTTGAGTAACGATGTTGAAATGCTTCCATCCAAAACAGCAGCGGATACAAATAACGGCACTGTCAAGGAGGCAGACAATTCTCCAAAAACTAATCTTTCACCTACCTCGGTTCCTAACTCAAATAAACCAACCACTGAGGCGAAATTGTCAGAACCATGGTAAATTTATTAACCTTAATATTCAACTTCGTATTATTCTCCATTATCAGAATTTCTTATTTCCAAAGTAATAAAATTTATATATTTGTATTTTGATCAGTTTCCCATCAGATCTTATTCATATATACACTTGGTTTATGCCTCTTCCAAGTCATCATATTTTTAAGTTACTTTTTTGGTATAACTGACATTAATATTAACATATATATATATATATATATATATATATATATATATATATATATATATATATTAATAATGTCCCCAGATAATTTTCACTAGTAAATAGGCTGATATAATTTCCTCTATTTGAAGCATTGCCATGATATTATGCAATCACTGTTTTGTTATCCTAACATCAGTCCTAATATATTCGTTATGTATGGGAAAACATCTAATAAAATAGTGGAATTTTATCGGCAAATGTGATTTCAATATGTGTCAAATGCGCCCAGTTACTGCTTCCTTCGATGCCTAATACTGGATGTTGTCGGAGAGGATTCGACCAAAACATGTGTTTAGCCAATGAGTGACTTTTGGGATAAATTGTGTTCCTTGTTGCAAATTACCTGATTAGAGTCCATGTGGTAATCATGATTATCGATTGAAGACCGGAGTTGTTATCATTAAATGGATTTCAGATATTCGAACATATCGTAAGCTCTAATAGAGTTTTGTTCCAAATTTTTCTGAATTTTATCCGTTTTTCCCGAACTATTTTTGTAATGGTTATTTTATTTCTATATCGTAGATTGTCCTACAACTTTGTTTCAGGTTACATCGTTTTAATTTTCATATGTTTCTCTTTGTTATTGTGTTGTGGGATCTTGAATGTTTGCATATTATACCATACTTTATGTTGGTTTTAGTTTCAAGGTGCAGAATTTAGTGTTTACAAGTTAGATATGAATTCATACTTTTAATGATCAAATGAATAAAATTCCTTTCTCTTTCTTAAAAAACTTAAATTATCAGGCTTTTTCATTTGATTTAACGGCCAGAATATGTAAACTTCTGTTGACTTAACTTTGAAAAATGCATTGATGATCCGATGTTAAAAAAAATTCTAAGTTACGAACACAAACTTTTTCATATGAAGGCTGTTTGATTTCATTATAATTTGCATTCATTAAATGTAGTTTAGTTTTAATCAATAATAAATGAACATAAAGGCACGATCACTATGTTGATTATATTAAATTTTTCGACTGATTGTATGGTCGGAATATCGAACATTTTGATAAACTTGTGAATTACAAACAAGGCATACTTTTATGTTTACAGCCTGAAATTTATAGTTATTATCTTTTAAATCTACACTTTATTGATTTTTGTGTTATAAATATGAACCTTGTTATACATTAATATGTTAATTGTAGCGTGTGGTCTCAAAGTATTTTATCATTAATTGGGCGTTGTGTACTCCTGATAAGTAAGTTATTTTTATCGAATATTTAAACTGTCAATTTGATAGGTTACTGACTAGTTTAAATACATTAATTTAGTAAAGCAATTTTTAAATTAATTGACTTTTGAACTTTAATGTACACCCTTTACAAATTACATTGTAGCTCTACTAATAATCCCACTGTTGTTGATAGTACCACTGCCGCATCTAAACCAAAACGACGTGTACAGTTAACCACATTGGTTTCTTTCGTTGATGGGAATATTACTGGTAACAATAGAACAGATGACTCGCATAATTCAACAAATTTATCAGTTGATCCTAATGTTCACTCAACAAAACACATATCTCAAAAAATTTGTGAAAAAGATGTTATAGAACTCACGGTAAGTTAGAAGTATTACTTTATCGTTGTTTCAGAGTTTTCTAACTATTCATTTAGTGATATTTATTTATTGCCTATCTGTTCTTAAAATTCTTGTTTTTCTTCTTTTAGGACGATTCAACCTCCCAACCAATGGTATAGAGTTATCATGATTTCCGGTTGCACTATTTTTTTAAGAATGTAGACTTTACATGGCCGTATTGCATTATTCACCGATGTCTCAATAGTTTATTTCTGTTTCAGGACCCATTTTTATTCTATTTTTCTATGTATTCATTTATGTAACAAGTTTTTCAAAAACGAATAAATCTCCTTCTCTGTCTTAGTATTAAACTGTTAATAATCATTGGAATATTGATTCACGATCCGCTAACTTCAAGGTAAAATAACTTGAATCACCTGTATCCTCAGGTCCAATAATAGCACCCTACCTCTGTTTCTGCATTTCAGTATCAATACATTTAGATGCATCCCACATACTAAAGCTGAGGAAGTCGGTTTTCGACTATTTTAGGCTGTTCTAATCCACAAGACAGAAAATACAATTCTAGGATAGCCAGTATGATTTGTTCACCTACAGTTTTCTCGTCCTTTTACTCCTATTATGGACCTCCAGCTACTGTAGACAAGAATAATGTACCCACAAACTCGTTAATGCTTCAGATATCAAACTTTGCTGGTAATCACTTTTGACAGATATATTCTAACAAATACTGACTTGATTAACGACAACAAGAAAGTCTAAACAGTTGTATCCTCAATCGAAAAATTATTAGCTATCTGGTTTCATCGACTCAACCACAGGAGCGTTTCCATTAGCAGTGACAGCAGTCAGTAATATTCTTGGAACTATTACAAATTCACCTTACTCGATAAACGGAACTAAGATCAACGATGCAGTGACACGATAGGCTATCCTAATCTGATTGTCCGAGTTCCCGCTAACTAGAGCAAGAATGCTTGATAAGACGTAGAAAATGTATTGCTAAGCACACAACTCATGCTTATTTATACAATGATAGAAACGCCCTTAGCGAAGTCACAAAATGGCGCACTAAAATAATTTATCAACCAATGTTAGTCAAGAATTTTCTGAGTGGGAAATGTAAGCTGAATGACAACTAAGTGTCTTTTGCGCGAAAGCATAAAAATTTCAGAATGTCTGCAAAGTTAGGACCTTTCAAAGTGAGTTCTGGGGATCTGACATCCCCAACACACACTCCTTTAATAGCGTACGTTCCTGGGGTCGAGTTGCATCTTGACTATCGTTCGCTGCTGTCGAAGAGGCCACTTAGAATGTTTATCAGCTGGTTGAGAACTGCGTCATGTGGTTGTGATACGTGGCATATAGTACTTAACAGGATATCAGCTGATTTTAGCTGTTCGAACCAATCTATACAAAGTAAATTGAGATCAGCTGTCGTTATGTAACATGCAGTCTGTTCAAATTCCCATTAATGTTAAGAGTAGTGAATTTCTCATCTGGGGTTGGGCTTTGACAAGATGTTAGGCTCGAGAAATTGGTACAGGAACGAGGAAGTCTTTTTGGCAATTCTTGATCGGTTTGGGTTCCTCTTTAGACAAAAACCATGTCGTTTGTGTAACGTGTGGCAGAATGTGCATATTGTGACATTTCCTCTGGTTCATTCCAAAGCAGATGTAAGCTTCTTTTGATGCTCAGTTTTGCTTATTATGGACCTCCATATATTGCAGCGTCTGCGTAGATCGATGCCTTCGATCTAACATGTTAATATATATCAGCGGCAGAAATGGACCTTACACAGTCCCCTGTGAAACTCCTGATGTTGAGACCTGCCAACTCACGTGCACTGTATTCACCTTGGTGTGAGACTTTCTATTCTCAAGGTTGTTTCTGAGCCAAGATACGAGTGAAGCCCATTTCCGCAACCAAGTGTACGTGAGGTACTGTGCCGAATGCTTTGACAATGTCAAGAAATTATATGCACCGGTATTTTTCGGTTTCAGCAGGATGTCCAACTGTCCCATGCTATGAAAAGATTAGATGCGTGCGACCTACTTTCCCGAGACTCGTGTTCAGCCTCATTGGGGATTTCGTTCTCATCCATTTACTCCTCTTATCGTCCACCAGCCGTTCCAATATTTTTGACAGTATTGCTTGTGACGGTCTCGATTTGAGGGAGTAGCTTTATTTCATTCAGCCAAGAGTTAGTGTAACTGAAGACATCACATATCTGTCAACTGACGGCTTCTGCACACTGTTTAAGACTGTGGGGGTAATATCGTCACATCCTATTGACTTTCCGGGAAGCAGGGATTTTCATTTTCTCAGGAGTAGGTCGAATATTACCTAGGTCATCATGTGGTATTATGTTGGAGGAGTACTGTGAATATGTAGTTATTTGGAACTACGGTCAGAATTCTCCCGAGAAACCTTTCACTTGTACCAAGCTTTCTCGCCTGATCCATGTTCTGTTTCCAGGTGTGTGGTGTCCCTGAGATACATATTTTAGGAAAGCATTCTGATGGTGTCTCTCACTGTTAGCCAGTGGTCAACCACTGTTAGTCTCCACCATAATCGTGGCCATGGGGCATGCATGCGCGTGTAATTTTAACTATCGAAGCAAATGTAGGGCTCGTTTTCGTCTTAGCTGAGTGTCTCGTTTACAACCACATTAAACAAGACCATGCCACGATCATTACTTCCTAATGGTGTATGGACGTGAATGTCCTAGACCAGGAGCTGACCATATGAACATTGTTCATCCTTATTACATTAACTGGAGCTGCTCTGTCGGCCCGTAACTTCTAACGGCTGCGTTAAGTTGTCTTCAGAAACAACCGAACTAAGTTCTGCCCTGTTTGTTGAGAGTTAGAGTAAGAGCGTTGAAATCTTTAGCTAAGAGTATTTTGTCAAATCGAAGGAGTGGCAGTTGCATTATTACCTCAGTCAGTTTATCTTTCTGGCCGTCACTGTTTGAGGAGGCCGGTAAATCGCTTTAATCTAGTATTTCGTGCCTTTTGTGTTGAAACGAAGTCAACATAATTCTGTTACTTTGGTTGGTTCGGTGCGGTGAAGTCTATTGGCTTTGACTACCTTACAACTAACCCTGGAATTCATATATCTACTAGATTTCCTGGTTGTTATAGTGAAGGAGGGATAGCGACTTTATTTCTGAACTTGATACCTGAGGGAGTTGAGCTGAAAAACGAGATAATTTGAAGAGGAAAATATGTGTGATAGAAGTTTTGGAAGGAGGAAAATAATCATGATAAATATAATTACGAAAGAACAGGACTTAAAGTCACCCAAAATCGCAGCTTTGACAGTCCAAGAAATCTACTTTGCTTGAATCCAGTAATGTTTTCACATGTCTTGTGTTCGCGGGTGAATGAACGTGTGTATGCTGCCTAAGAAACGAGGAAGAGAGCAGTTGATCGAGACAGCTATAGTGACCGAACTGCGGATGTGACTTGGAATAATTCCTTTTGTTTGAACTGCTACCATTGAACGGAGACAACTTTTATGAATAAATATCCCATTCTGGTGTCCCAAATGGGATTATTTCTTGTAAATGGTGGGAGATAGATAGAACTAAATATTAAATCGTTACTTGATGCACATTGAAAGCTAACAAACGAAGTAATACATAAGACGATCCTGTTACTCAACAATATTGTGTATGTGTAGTATTATAGTTCATAAAATAGTCCTGCCAGTAGTATCTCCATGGCATACAATACATTTGATCTTTGAAATGTAAGCAACCCAAAGCATGACTTTGTCATTTCGTTATCGAGAAACTGACTGATGTTTTAATAATTTTATTTGGAGAATGTTCATACTGCATTCTCCCGACGTAGGAATTGTGACGGGTGAATAGCTATCTTGACCCAGTGTCTGACTAGATTGAGCGTAAATGTTCGATGATAACTGTACTCAGTGAACCGTAACTTGAGTATACTTGTAGGCAGCTGACAAGTCATCAGTACAAATACCTTGACTAGGGGTTTCTATCTGATATTTGTGAATGAGTCATCATATTCTTTCGACATTACCTTGTTTGCCTTTCATACCAAATTGTTACAACTTCATGGACTATGAAAAAGTATTCGACAGCGTGCACATGATGAGACTATTAAAGCCTCTTCAAAAATACAGCGGGTCTGAGAAGATACTTAACACCGCATGGGATTCTCATGAAGGATTAGACTGAAAAATTCGTGCCCAGCTGAATGACTCGTTCGAGGTGAAAATCGGTGTCATACAGGGTCGCTTACTCTCACTCATTCTCCCAGTGACCGACGGGATTATGAAGACGTAAACATCTGGAGAGGAGCAAGGCATCCAATGTACAGCCAGGATGCAGCTGGACTATATTTAATATTCTCTTCAACAAGATTTAGGATGAAGAACAAGTGCCAACAGACTGCAAAGAAGGATACCTGTGGTGTTTGAATGAACTAGTAACTTCTTGTTGTTGTGGAATGTTTGATTTCGAATTCTAAATACAATACATTCGTTTGTGCATATCTTTAGTTCTTGATTCACATACTTCTAATTATCACACTGGCGTCGCGATGGAACTTGTAATGGAACAGCTAGATATTCATTCAACTTCTGAAGCTTTTGAAGATTATTTGGAAAGGTTTGAAATCTGGAGTATGACCAGGAAAGATGTCAAAGATGATAAAATTGTGGCTCATTTCCTAACATTCATCGGAAAAGAAGCGTGCAGCTTATTAAAAACCTTGGCATATCCAGAAAAACCTATTTCACTTCCCTATGCAATGCTAAAGGAGTTATTATTGAATCATGTAAAGTGCCCTGGTTTTGAATGCCGTGAAAGAGCGAAATTTCATAAGATGATTCGTCAAAATGACCAAAATGTTAAGGAATTCATTCTTGAATTGCAGAAACAGGCTGTCAAATGTAATTTCGGTGATCAACTTAAGGTGCAGCTGACAGACCGATTAATTGCAGGAATTAACATACCTAGTTTGGAAACAGAGCTGTTAAGAATGTCAAACTGTTCCTTTCAAGATGTTAGAACTGCGTGCATTAACTACGAGGCGTTGAATGAACTTGATATTCAGTCGATGAAGATTTCCAATACTTTGATTAGTTGTCATGATGAAAAACAATCTCAGGTTCAATCAAAATTGTGTTCGTTTAACAGAGGTTCCGATTCTCATGTAAATATGAACGGTGTTTCAATAAAGAATTGCAAAGGAAATCACAAAGGTGAGACCAAGTTTGGCAAATGTTTATCATGTAGGAAACTTCATTCTCGACATTCTTGTACATTTCGTAATGCTAAATGTTTTAGATGTGGTAAGATAGAA